GCTGTGGCCACCAGGAAGAGGAGGAGGACGGTGCTTGGAGCTCCTGCTCCTTCTTTGAGGGTTCTGCCGGCGTTTGAAGCTTGAGGAGCAACTTTGTTGAGTTGGAATTATAGGGGGGGAAGAATTTTTTGACTTAAAATAGACCAAAAAAAATCTCAGCCTAGTCGGGAACGGGAACGGTCCCCGCCCAGCTCGTGGTTTTTCTGTCCCTCTCTAATTAACTGATGGATTTTTGGTGGCACCTCCCACGGGTTTGAGGTTCCTTGGTTATTTTTAGCTTCAGCCACGTTTGCCCAGGACCAAAAAAGGTCCTTTCAGCACCTAAAGCAGCTGGAAGGGGTGGAGGAAGGTCCCGCTGCCCGGCCCTGAGGTTTTGGGGAGGCACCAAAGGTTGATGGTTTGTGGTGGAACATCAGCCAGGGTGGCTCAAGGGTTTGGTCTCCATGGGGCTCCCTCTCCTGGAAGGAATGCGGCTCCAAGGTAAGCTCTAGGAGAGGGATCCCAAAAATGGGATGGAAAATGGTGGGATCTAAAGGATTCTCCTGGGGGTGGAGCTCAGACCTGTTGAGGAGCAAGATCCACCTGGTTTGAGCAGAGAGAGACACAAAACCCTTCACTTCAGCAAGAGTTGGACCTTTTATTGCTTGGGGACAGGTTCAAAACATACCCTGGGCCAAGCCTGGCTTCTACCCAGCCTCCTTGGTCCAGCCAAGAGGCTCCTCAGCCACGTTCCTGCACCAAAGCAGGGCAAGGAGTGCAGGAGAGGACCTTGCTGGAAGCCAGTGGTGGTGGGGACCTTGTCTGAAGGCACCACCTTGAAGGTACCAACTTGGGGGTTGATGGCACCAACTTGAAGGTACCAAATTGGAGCTTGAAGGTACCAACTTGAAGGCACCAACCTGAGGGTGCCAACTTGAGGGTTGATGGCACCAACCTGAAGGTACCAAACTGGAGCTTGAAGGTACCAACTTGAAGGCACCAACTTGAGGGTGCCAACTCGAGGGTTGATGGCACCAACCTGAAGGTGCCAACTTGGGAGTTGATGGCACCAACTTGGGGGCTGATGGCATCAACCTGAAGGTGCCAACTTGAAGGTACCAAATTGGAGCTTGAAGGTACCAAATTAGGGGTTGAAGGTACCAACTTGGGGGTACAACAACGCTGGTAGCAACACAGGAGGTCTCTGGTGAGCAGCAGAGACTGGATGGACTTCATCACACCACTGTGGAGCGCCCAGACCACGTGCTGGAGATGGTTCTGCTCCTCATCCTGCCTCGTTACTTGTCGGGGATGTCCAGCTCCAGCCTCCTCAGAGTCTTTAGGAAGAAGAGGGGTGGCTTGCAGACCAGGTCCAACCTCTCTCCCAGGGGCAGGGAGAGCCGGTGGGCGTGGAGATGGAGGGGAAGGTGCCGAGCTTTGCTCTGCTTCAGCTTCAACCTCTTCAAGGTGATCTCAGGAAGCTTCTGTGGTGAGGAGAGAAGAAAACCCTTCCACAACTTTGTCTCTTTGAGGTAGGCCTTGAAAAGCCTGGCTCAAGGAGGAGTTTAGGGGGTGGCCACAGAAGCTCCAGGCCCCACCTGTGGTGCCAGCTTGCTCCAGTGTGAGTATTTATGATCCCCCAAGATGGGACACCCCAACCCGTAGGCCAGGTGGACCCGGATCTGATGCTTCACCCCTGAGGAGAAAGAAAAAAAGGGAAGAGGAGAAATGGGACCCACCACCCCCCCCGTTGGGTCTCGACTCCCAGCTGGGGGACGTCTGGTGGGGCCTCCTCACCGGTGATGGGCTGGAGCTCGAGCAGGGAGCAGCAGGAGGAGCTGGCCAGGCGGCGGTACCGCGTCACCGCGCTCTCGGCGCGGCGGTTCTTCCGCACCCTCACCGCCCGGCCGTCCCCCGGGGACAGGCGGGAGGTGGGGGCCAAGGTCCTCCGCGG